AAGGTCTCAAACTCTAATTGGTCCTGACAATTATAATTACAGACACACAGAACGGGAGAAAGTCAATAATTATTTCAATAATCTTCAGGCTGTTCTTTGTTCAGCATGTTTGGAGATTTAAAATGTGTCTGTGGACGAACTGAACCTGGAAACTGTGGTCATGTTTGTCCTCACAACATAACATAAAACCATGAGACATTAAATACAAACATTGTAATGGTAAAAAAAATCCATCCTCTGTCCTTTCCTAAACACTTTTCCTTGACTTTGATGGAAAACGTCATGAGGTCAAGGAAAGATGTGAAGGAGAATTCATAAAAGACAACCGCGGTGCTCAGAGAACCAGGCTGCACTTACATCAGCTTCTTTTTAACCAACTTTATTTATAACACGCGGAAGATGAGTACAGTGACAAACTCAATGCTGCTCACTTCAAAAGGTTTCCTGTCCAACACAGAATCACACCTCCTAAGAAAGGATGTTTCATTTGGTACATTTAACCATCAGTTAGGCTGCTCATAGGAAGTAACAACAACATAGATACTGCTGAAAAAACAAAAAGGATTAAAATGCTGACACAATATAATAACAAAATTAATATACAAGTAGAGAAAGTTGAGTGAATTATACTCAAACATAAATATAGAGTTTCCTGGGATGGGTGCTTTTGATATTTTTATACATTTGTTAAATAGATGCTCTGTTGTTTCTACAGGTGCATCTCAGTTTTTTAAATTCATAATTATAATTAAAGTTATAAATATAATATATAAAAATTTACCTGAGAATCAATTCAAAACACCTGCAAATGTTTCCTGATCCTTTAATCTCTCAGTCTGGTTCAGTTCAAATAAACTTTTCTAAGATATTGTAATTTTTTAGATGCTCCTGTACATTTATGGGTGTCTATCGTGGTGAAACTAATGGTGAGTCGCTCTAAAGGCTGCTGTTGCAAGGAATTGTGGGAAAGCATTATCTCCTTTCCTTTCATAAAGAACTGTCCAGTGTAGCCTTTGCTAAAGGAGCTAAGAAAGGAAGCATTTAACAGCCTTTACTTACCATTTAGCATTGTCACAAAAAGTTCACACTGTATTTGTGTCAATGACCCGTTTCACCACATGAAAGGAAGAAGAAGTTGTTGAAGGTGTGAAGAGCTCTGGAGGTGTTAAACCTCAACAGAGATATAGATGTTAAAATGACTGCATATCAAACAATAACAGCTGATACAGAAATATCAGTAAAAACTAATACATGTTTAACTACAACACAGCACTAGCACATTAAAGTGCCTGACAGCAAGTTCATCAAGCTAAATGTCCCATATATTATCATAAAATAATTCAAATAATAAAACATTTATCAGTTCTCAGTGTAAATTACCTGTAATGATATGAGCTGTAACTACACTGTGGTCTCTTATTTGTTTGGTTAGTTGACGGTGGCGTAGAGGTCGCTGGGATCAGCTGAGGCTCCAGCAGAAGAAGAGGAAGCTTTCACGCTGCGGTAGGTCACTGTGTTGTTATCAGGTAGTCTCTGGTTACCAGATAAATAAATCACAGAGAAATATTTCAGGTGTGTGTTAAAAAAATAAAAATATATTAAAATAAAATAAATAAAATAGTAAGCGTGTGTGTGTATGTGTGCGTGTGTGTTATTAAAAAACTAAAAATATATTAAAAATATGTGTGTGTATTTAAACAAAATACATATAGATATTAAAAATTTTAATTAAATAAATAAATAAAACGGTAAGAATGTGTGTTATATGTTAAAAATATATATTAAAAATAAAATAAAATAATAAGCGTGTGTGTGTATGTGTGTGTTTAAAAAGCAAAAAATATATTTAAAAAAAATAAGTAAATAAATAAAACAGTAAGCGTGTGTGTGTGTGTTACAAATTAAAATATATTAAAAATAAAATAAATAAATAAAACATTAAGCGTGTGTGTGTTAAAAAATAAAAATATATTAAAATAAAATAAATAAATAAAACAGTAAGCGTGTGTGTTAAAATATATATATATATATATAAAAATTTATTAAAATAAAATAAATAAATAAAATGGCAAGCATGTGTGTGTTGTGTGTGTGTGTGTTTAAAAAGCAAAAAATATATTAAAAATAAAATAAATACAAAAACAGTAAGCGTGTGTGTGTTTTAAAAAATATATGTGTATTAAAAATTAAAATAAAATAAAGAAGGAAAATGGTAAGCGTGTGTGTGTGTGTGTGTTAAAAAATAAAAATAAAATAAATGAATAAAACAGTAAGCGTGTGTGTTTAAAATATATATATATATATAAATTTATTAAAACAAAATAAATAAAACGGTAAGCGTGTGTGTGTTTAAAAAGCAAAAAATATATTAAAATAAATAAAACAGTAAGCGTGTGTGTGTTTAAAAAGCAAAAAATATATTAAAAATAAAATAAATAAATAAAACAGTAAGCGTGTGTGTGTTTAAACAAAATACATATAGATATAAAAAAATTTAATTAAATAAATAAATCAAACGGTAAGCATGTGTGTGTGTTAAAAAATAAAAATATATTAAAAATAAATAAAATAGTAAGCGTGTGTGTGTGTATGTGTGTGTGTGTGTGAGTGTGTGTTTAAAAAACAAAAAATATATAAAAATAAAATAAATAAATAAAACAGTAAGTGTGTGTGTGTGTGTGTGTGTGTGTGTGTGTGTGTGTGTGTGTGGTCAGGATAAACCAAAAAGACACAAAACAAACCCAGTCAGACGCTGACTTAGGAGGAGAGAGAACAAAAGACTGATCAGTCCTGGCTAAATAAGCTCTGAAGAGAGCTGTACAGGTGATTGCCCAATCAGCCTCCCTGCCTGCAGCCTCCTGCAGGAGAAGGAAGCAGGAAGGGGGAGGGGTCGTAACATCTCTCACCCACAGTGACTGACGGAGACCCCAAATTATTGATCAGCAGTATGAGATGCAGCCAACAGTAAAGATGTCAGAGGTCAGAGGTCACAGCAGCCTGACAAAGATCCACCATCTACAAACACATACGACAAAGTCACTGATCACGAGACAAAGGAATATGTTTCTGCACTGAGCCAAACTAACACTGAAACAAACAAACTATATTAAGGCTCAAGTTCACAGTTTGTTCAGTCCGGTGTATTTGTGACAATGACGAGTTTCATCTCCTTAAAAGAAGAAGAAGAGGAAGTTGACGTGTGAAGATTGTTGGTTAAGATAAATGTTGTTTTCTTCAGAACGTGTCACCCAGTGCAGCAGTGAAGGTCACTGACTGGTTTTAATAGTACTTTTCGTGGGATTTGTTGACAGTCCTACTGGCTTGCTGCTAACTGATGGCTTCAGTAAACAAACACAGATGATTTCACAGTGTGAGATGCAGAGAACTTAAAGTTTGACTTGTTGCAGTTGATGAAACTTCCCTCGATCTAAAACAACTCAGTGTTCAGGAGCATTATATTATGTCCCAGTCAGGACCTGCACAATAACATTAATCAGCCCCTACTGGCCTGAAGGGGAAAATATCCAGATTCAATACTAACCTGACCAAAACACACACATCTGTTTTTTTCATACAAGACATTTTGACACAGCACAGCAGGAAAACAGATTTAAATTGAACAATTAATGATGGCTGGATTCCATTTAGCTGCTTCAGTTTCAGAGTCCTGACAATTAAACACGTCTGCTGTGAAAAAGATCTAAAGGCTCCAACAGTCGTCATGCAGAGCTGCTTCTGAACCGGTCTAACAACCAGACGTGTTTTAAAGCAGATAAAAACACTTAAGTTTTAGTTTCATCTAGTGTGTAACTAAAACTCAGATCGTCCCATTTCCCGAGTTGTGAAGTCATTCTTCTGAGTTTTTCTGTGTTCATGTGCTCTTAAGTCTGAATGTGGAATCAACATGTCATTTACACTGGGGACATGTGTCCCCACCACATTTTGAAATGGCTGATTTTGTCCACATCACTTTTTGAGAGCATTTGTTAATAATGTTCTGAAAAATAGCTTGCACCAAGAAATGTGAACTAACAAATAAAAATGCTTTGAGAAACGTTTATTTGCAATTTAAATATAGAAAAAACAAATGTGCATTGTCCAAAAATTGCAGCTAAATACTGCATCATATTCTGTTATTTATTTATACATTTACACCTTTAATTTCTTTTATACTATTACAGCAGTGGTTTTAACTTTTATTAGGGTTTTATGCACAGCTCCTCTTCAGTTTATCTTTGATTTAATTTATTTAAATGGTCGGGGGGCAGACGCCGTCACTATGAAGTTTTGGTAAAAGCTGAAATGGAAGCGCAGAGAAGTGTGTAACACTCTGTCTCCTTAAGGGGGCGTTCAAGTTGGAATTTACGACTGGAAACTGGGAAAATCCAACTTCATGTGTCAAATGCAGCATTATTACCTGCTGTTCTGACTCTGCCTGCCTGGATCAAGTAAAACTGAACTTGGTCTTTATATTTCCTGTCTCTGACTCGTAGGAACGGCTTCACCACTGCCAGTTTCCTCTGAAACATGACAGTTAGAATAAACTATATTTAGATTCACACTGAGCCTCAAGTTCACACTTTGTATTTGTGACAATGACCCGTTTCACCACATGAAAGGCAGACGAAGAAGAAGAAGGTGCAAAGAGCTCTGGAGGTGTTAAACCTCTACAGAAATATAGGTGTTAAAATGACTGCATATCAAACAATAACAGCAGATACAGAAATAACAGTAAAAACTAATACATGTTTAACTACAACACAGCACTAGCACATTAAAGTGCCTGACAGCAAGTTCATCAAGCTAAATGTCCCATATATTATCATAAAATAATTCAAATAGTAAAACATTTATCAGTTCTCAGTGTAAATTACCTGTAATGATATGAGCTGTAACTACACTGTGGTCTCTTATTTGTTTGGTTAGTTGACGGTGGCGTAGAGGTCGCTGGGATCAGCTGAGGCTCCAGCAGAAGAAGAGGAAGCTTTCACGCTGCTGTAGGTCACTGCATCATCTTCATCATCACCATCTTTACCCAGAACCTGGAAAAGAGACAAACAGCACAACACAGAAATTACACAACATTAAATGAGAGAAGTGTTTTCATTCACTGCCATCATCACTAGAACCAATCGGACAGCTTACCCGGCCTTTACTGTTGGTCTTCCTGGTGTAGCTGATGGAGGCGTAGGAAACACCATCTTCAGGATCAGCCTACACAGAGAAGACAACATAATGGCTGCTCAGTAACATGTGGACTTGATTGTGTTCTGGTCTGTTCTGGTGTCGTCCAGCTGCATCATCAGACTCCCCACTTCTTCTCTTGCAGAAAGAACTTAGATTCAAGAGTCACTGTGTGTCTCATAGAGCTACATTTTGAACAACAAATCTAAAAACAGTGAGTGTAACTTTGTCCTGGGTGTAGTGTGAGATCTCACCGTGTCCTGACTGCTTTCTGGACTCACTGCAGGGTTTAAGCTCCGTCCCTGAAAACAACAAACAAACAGAGTCTACTTCCATGTGGTCAAACACTGGCTCTGTGAAGGCTGTTTAGATTTGGATGACTCTGTCAGAGAGCAGCTGATTCAGCTCTGTCATAACTGTAGAAACATTTGATTACTCAGCCGCAAAACTCACAGTGTTTTCATCCATCTGGGTTTTTTTTCCTGAAGAGACAAAAGAGAGTCGACTTTAGCTTCAACAATAAAAATCCAGGTTCATCAAAACTTCTTGTTTATAATATCTGTGGTTGCTCTCACCTTTAGTTTTCTTCCATCTGATGAGAGCAACAACAATAACAACAGTTATTAAGAGAGCTGCAACTGCAACAAACCACCACCAACCTGGAAAGACAATAAAACAGGACATCTTATTGGTGATTTTGTTATTTTGTGTTGTGTGAACACGTCTGACTGAATAAGAGAATATCTCCACCCACAGCCGAGTGTCACTCTGATATTCATACTTTTGACTCAGAAGAGGAGAGAGAGAGAGAGAGAGAGAGAGAGAGAGAGAGAGAGAGAGAGAGAGAGAGAGAGAGAGATGGCTTATTCTTTAAACTTATTGAGTGTGTTGTTGGAGGGAAAACATATGACATCATAAAACCAATGCATTCTAACTGTCTTCAATATATGTATAAAACCCAAAGCACCAACACGTTCTCATCTCAGTGCGTCATTACCAACGCTGTGAGACAACGTGACAAAGCTTAATTATTTGACGTTGGCAGCTAACCATACAGCTGTGCACATTGCGGCCGATGTGCACAGCTGTAGGCGGTAGCGCCACAGTGTCCACTGTGTTGATCTTTGCCGGCCGAGCAGGCTAACTTCCGGCTTAGCCCTCCGCTAACGTGAATGGGGGTAAATTTGTATATGTGCGGCTGTTGTAGACTTAAAATGTTGTTGACAGGATTGGATCACATTCGCCAGATTGTGAGGGTCAAATATATTGATCCACCATGTGGCAGGCATTGGTTTGGCGGCTAGTAAAATGTACACCAAAGCACGGGTCACTTACGATCAGCTCGGCGGCATTACGAGGCTACCCAGCCGACCAATCACAGTGCTTACTGTCCGTGTCGCCTCGACGTGTAGTTACATTTTTGAGGAGATGCACGTCAGGCTACAGAGAAGGCAACGGCATAGGGTACGGGGCTACGCTGCCGATTTGTTGCAGAAGTATAAATTGCACTTTAGCTGGTCGACATGCATAAAGTCAGTGACTTAGGTTTAGGCTCAAACATTTCTGATGGTTATGGTAAGGGTAGGGGGCTTCAGGGGCCCGTCAACACCTTTAACTTGAACGTAGCTATCTAGCTAGCACTTCTAGTATGTACGAGATGCCCCAGAGCGTCTCATACAGATCCGGATATCAGGGAGCTACTCATAGAGACGCACCCGGAGCGTCTCCCAAATAACTATGCTTTGTCATTTTTTCTGAAAGCGTCGGTATTGGACGCCCTGAGACGAGAACGGGCTCAAATAATCTAGAAAAATCTGCAACACCTGGCCTCACACTGCATGACACACAGATTAAATGCCTTCTATTTGCAGATGACTTCATCCTTCTATCCCCAACATAAATAAGGACTCCAGCAGCAGCTAAATATCCTGCATGAATTCTGTCTCACCTGGGCCCTGACAGTAAACCTCAAAAAGACAAAGATCATGGTCTTCCAAAAACGATACAGACATCAAGGAAACAAGCACAAATTATATTTAGACACAACATCTATAAAATTACACATATCTGGGCTCATGAGCACAACAGGAAACTTCAACATGGCTGTGAAAGATCTGTGGGACAAAGCAAGGAGAGCTTTCTATGCCATCTGAAGAAATATAAAAAATGATATACCAATAAAGATCTGGCTAAAGATTTTCAAATCGGTCCTGGAACCAACTTCCCTTTATGGGAGGTAAATATGGGGTCCACTCAGGTCTAGGTTTGTAAAATGGGAGAAACACCCAACTGAATCTTTTCATACTAGGCCAATACTCAGTGATCCAAATCCAATAAAGAGCTACCAAATTCTACAATCACGTACAGACTCAGTGATCAGAACCTGGCCATCGAGACGGCCGCCAGAGACAAACCTGGCTTCCTAGAGAGGAAAGGATCTGCTCACTTTGTACACCACAGGAAATAGAAAATGAACAACACTTCCTCACAACATGTGAAAAACACAAAGATCTAAGAGAAAACTACAAATTACTGAAACCTATAAAGGAAAACTTCCATACCTACTAGGTGAAACACAAAGATGTGACATAGTTGCAGCTAAATATACACGTACATGTCAAAACCTGAAGACAACCAGAGGAACACAAATATGAAACCATCACACCGTTACTATAGCGACAATGTTATTATTGTTATGGTTCTTTGTTTGTTTTCTTTTACTGTTGCTTTGGTAATATGAACATTATTCTTTCATGCCAATCAAGCCACTTTGAAAACTGAAATTTGAAAATTGAGAGAGAGAGAATCAATAATGAATTTAGGGCTGTCCCCAACTAACGATTGACATGGTCCAATCAGAATTGTCAAGTCTTGCCCAAAGTCGACTGATAGTGGAATCAGTGTGTGTTTGTGCACGGCGATTGTGGGGGATTGCAGCCTCTATCATCATTAGTCAGTGTAACTTACATTGTACATTTAACGTTACAGATAAACTGAGGCTTGCTGTTGATCATTTCCTCTCAGCTCTGCTCGCCGGCCTTTCACCGGTCTTATGCAGAGTTTTTCATGCGTGCCGTGCGGCCTACAAATGCATGCACGTTGCGGTTCCTTACGGTCTATTTCAAGTAATATTTAAAAATAATATATATTCTTTCCCCGCGACCCTGTACGCAGGATAAGCGGTTGATGATGGATGGATAATATTCTTTGTGTGGTTTATCAATAGTGATAAATGATCCGAAAGTCCCGCGAGGTGCGGACAACTTGGCACAATAGCGGGGACGCAGGGGCTCCATCTCTCTGCCACTACCGCAGAGCTCATTTTGATGCGAAGTTTCAACTGTGAGATTGACAGTCAAATCAGACTCCGCCCATCGAAGCATCAAACCTTTGACTATGTGGGGTCAGCCCTAAATAAATTAATGAATAATAATTTCTTGATCACTTCCTATTTTCTGTATTTTACTATGATGATTGGCCAGTTTTGTCTTTTCTAAAAATGTGACCTAAATAAAGAAGCTTTTATCTTTTGCCATAAAAAACACCAAAAACTAAACCTGTACAACAAACAAAAAACATGAATTAAATAATGAAGTTCAGTACAGGAAGACAGAGAGACTCCAGAGAAAGATGAGTTACTACCTTGTAGTTTTGTTGAAGTATCATTGGTTGTTGATTGTGTATTTTCAGTTGTTGTTGTTGTTGTTGTTGTTGTTGTTGTTGCTGGTTTAGTTGTTGTTGTTGTTGTTGTTGTTGCTGGTTTAGATGTCAGAGATATTGCGAGAGAAAGAAAACAAGAGTAAAGTTCATCACTGTGAAAAGTCATCAAATAAACAAATGTTTTGGTGGTTTTAATCATCTTGAACAGGGGTGTGTTTCCCAAAAGCATCGTTGCTGACTGCGGTAGCAACTTCCTTGGTTGGAACTTTGCAGTTGCGACGCAACTGTTTCCTAAAACCCTAGTTGGAACTACGGAGGTAACTAAGTTGGTAACTTACACGGTACGAACCATCGTTAAGCGACGCAGGTGTTCCCTGAAACCATAGTTCAGACGAACGTTCGCACCAACTGTTGTTAAGTTGCATAGTTGGAACTACAGCTCCTGACCTGTGGTTAGAAGCTTAGTCCACGGTGACTACGTCACAGAGAGCAGAAAATGCAGTGTTAGGAGGTGGATGTGATGTGGTTTAAGCAGGGAATGTTAGATAATCCTGCTGTACAAACATGTTTAAGGTCAATTTAAAAAATAAATGTATTTGTAAAAGTACTTTTAAATGTATTTGTGGGGTCATGGGTAGGGTTGCATTGATTCAGTAGGCTACTAAGTATCTCAGTGTAGACCATCTACAAACAGCAGGTGTTTTTCTCACAGATTACCCGTCTGCTCACAATAACTTAATTTAATATTAGTCACCCAGTACAAAGGTTAAAGGACAAAACGGAGAATGTAAAGACAAGACTTTTAATATTACCTACATGTATACGTTTCTGGGCCTCTGGGGAAGATGGGTGTTCTCTAGTCTTCATTACAAACATAAAAAGGGACAGCATAAAATCCATGAAAGTACTGTAATGAATAAATCCCTGAGAGTTTTCGTTGCCTTTATAACAAAGATAAATAGAGAACTCACGGGAGTCGTATCTGTCTCAATAGAGAACATGCGTAAGCTCAGACACTCAGCGCACTGAGCTGTTCTCAAAACCTAGATGTCAGATGCCAAGGGATTCATAATAGTGTTACAGTGTTGACACAAAGATACTAAACCTATTTCACTAAATGTCTTGGAATCGCTAATAGTTCTTAATTTTTTCTTCTAAGTTATAGCCGATATTTAGCTAAATAAAATGATTAGGTTATATATTATTTATATTGTTGATTTCATTAACACTATTGTTGATTTTCTTGTTGTTGCCGGTATGACAATAATATAAAAAGCCTAAATAATAAGTTGCAAACTAATGTCACTTAATATCGGTCACAACTGACATATTTAGGCAGAATATGACGTTTTGTGAGTTTCGTGCTGTGAAAGTCAGACGAACACACCTGGAAACATGTTAGTTCGACCTACGTTGGCTCAAACTAATTAGTTCAAGTATGACAGTTTAGGGAAACGGTCGTATTTCAGATGTTTGTTTGTGTAACGATGCATCGTACCAACATAGTTCAACGTTACCTTACGTGGTTGTTCGGGAAACGCACACCAGCTCAGCATATTCTCACCTGTTTTCTCACCTGAGGACTGAGGGCTGAAGGTGAACAGCTGCACTTTTCCAGAGTAACCATCTGTCACTTCACACTTCAAGTTAGACTTTGATTTGTTAATAAAATGAGAATCCAGGAAAGACACAGTGGCGTAGCAGACAGACTGTGATGTCTTCATGTCTTTGTTATCTTTGTCCACATCTTTACCCTCATACAGCCACTTCACTGTGTGACTACAGAACTGTTCATGTGTCGACACAGAGCAGGTTAACGTCACCTCATCAGCGTCCTTACGTTCAGTCACTGGTGAAGATGGAGATATTGTGAGAGAAAGACAACAAGAGTAAAGTTAACTTCATCACTGTGATCATAATTATTGTAATGTTTCAGTATATTGTTCTAACAAGACAGTTTGAGCTGAAAACATTATGATGGAAATACTCACTGGTAATAACAGACAGATGAACCAGAGAGTCTGGAGCTTGTTTTTGTCCTGATATGAACTGCTGACAGTCATAACGACCAACATCCTCGACTGGGACCTTCTTTAAAACCAGAGAACAGTTCTCTGTAACACTCAGTCTGTCTGATTTAGATTTGGCGTTTTCACCAATCTGCCCAAGTTCAATCAGCTTTACTGCTGCTGTGTTTCCTGAACCAGCAAAGAGCCATATAGTATATTCACATTTTTGCTGACCGTCTTTCACATTTTCACAAGGCAAAGTGACGTCATCTCCAACTCTGACAGTGAAGAGGGGGAAGTTTTCCAGCTGCTGCTGTTGAGAAAATGATGAAAAATAAAGTGAAATGAGAAAATGTCTGTTATGTTCATAGTTAGTGACGATTATTTCTTTATCCTTAGTTTCCAAGAGTTCACTAAACTCACCACATTAGAAACAACAGATTTGGTTTTCTTAGTTAAATCAAATGTAGCTAATAAAGAATCTTTAATAATATTGATCAAGTTATTTTTTACAATGTGCCTTCCATTTATATGTGATATATGTATTCTTACCTGTAAACTGAAGCACCGCTGTAAGAAATAAAGAAATCCATTTGAACTCAACCATCATGATTCTCTGAGTCTCTCCTTCTTCTGTCTCTTGTTCTCGTGCTCAGAACTGTCTGAGTTTCTAAACTAGTGCTTTAGTAGAGAGCGCTGCAGCTACTTCCTGTGGTTAGGATGATGTCACTTCCTCATAGTGACTTTTAGTCTGTTTTAGATTTCAGTCTCTCTGAATTTCTTGTTGATGTCCAAACAGCCAAAAACTCTGTTACAATTTTTACATTTTTGAAATGTAGTTTTCTCTCATCCACAGTGACTGACAGAGACCCCAAATTCTTGATCAGCAACATGAGATGCAGCCATCAGAGTTCACACTTTGGTCATTCCCGTCTATTTGTGACAATGACGTGTTTCACCAAGCGAAAAGAAGAAGAAGAAGTTGAAGCTGTGAAGATTGTTACTTAAGATAAATGTTTGCAATGATGCAACTTGTTTTCTTCAGATAGTGTTTATTAGAAAACAGACAGGATCCATGGTGATGTTTGACAGCACACATGAACAGACAGGTGAAGAGTCAAACTCCTCTCCCACCAGAATCTGACTCCTGATGTCCATGGTGCAATATGGTGATTCTGTAGCAGCTGCTGAAGAACACAGATAAGATGATATTTTACTGCTCTGAGATCTGCTGGTTCCTCATTTTATCTTTGCAGATATTTTTTTAAGATTAAGGAAACTCAGCAGAAGTTGAATCAGGAAGACATCGTTCATGCTGACTCTATTTCTCCCCCGCCCCCTCTCTTCCTTTTTTCTGCTTCCTACTCCGTCATTAGATTGAGGGCGTTCATTCTTTCAGTTAAACCAATCAGAATCTGCCACAACCTCTGTGAGCCAATCATATTGTTGCTGTCAAACTTTCAAACTGTCTTTTCTCTCCTGGAGGACCCCGACCAGATAAAAGACTGCAGCATCACTCCAGCTCCAGGCCTCCCTCCCTCTCTCGCTCCAGCAGCTGGTGGATCAAGCAGTCTTCAGTGATCCCACTGAGCCCTTCACATCCATTCTGGTTCTGGCCTCTGTGGTCACAGCCCCTCCACCAGGTAGGCCATACATCCCTCTCACATTTCTTAAACTCTCCTGTTCCTTTTCCTTTTAATTCCTCTTTAAGCCTCTTTTTCATTTAAGTCTCTCCTGACTGAGCTGAATAGGAAGTGTTTTGGTGAGAATGTGGACATGAGACAAACAGGCGTTTATCAAATTCTGATGAAAACTACTTTAACCCCTGGATGTCCTGGTTTTGGTTGTGAGTTTGGTGATTTCCTGTTTTCTTTTGTTAAATCCTTCCTCGTGGGTCTTTGTCAGTTCACTTCCTGTCCTTGAGTTGATTTTTGTTTCCACCTGTGTCTCGTTTCCTCCACCTCTCTTGGGTATTTAAGTGTGTGTATTCCTTTTTGTCTAGTGTTGGCTCGCCTGTGTTTTACAATAAGCACGCCATTTGTTTTCCCTCTGGAATTTGGGAGTTTTACCTGGCTAGGTAACTGAAAAATGTTCAAATCCAGGTTTGTTGTTTCACATGTATGACTACTACTTTATTGAACGCAGATTACATTTCATTCACAGTTAACATGAGCTAGAGGAAATGAGATGTTTGCTAAAAAAAAGAGTAAGTTGAAAGTTAAAACTTGAAATGATAAGAATTGTGAATTAGAGATGATAATGCAGACTGTATTTTATGATAGTGTCTTTGGTTCTGGTTCAGCATTGTGTGGGTCTGACTTTCTACAATACTTGGTGACTCCTGTTTGTGGCACCCATGAACTGGTGAAGGTGATTCATCCTCATCTACAGACTGCAGACATTACGTTAAACAAACAAAGTTGAGGACAGAGCAGAGAGCAGCGCTGCAGCTTTTGGACAAATAAACACCTGCGGTCGGTTTGGATTACACTCTGACAACTACGCTGTTTGCCCGTGGGAGGAGCTCGGAGTAAACTGCTTTTATTAAATTATCTTTTCACTTTAGTTTTGCGGATGACAACGTTGATTTATCTTCACTGGAGCTTCTCAGCAGCTAGCTTCCATGCACATCTGGTTTCACTGTTGTTGTTAGAAGGGGTGATGGAGCAGTGGCTAAGACACTTGCCTTTGGTTCAATCCCCCACTGTGACCCATCCACCATTGTGTCCCTGAGCAAGACACTTCTCGTTGCTCCAGAGGCGTGCAACTTCTGACATATATAGCAAGTGTAAGTCACTTTTGATAAAAGCTATAATAAATAAATAAATGTAAATGTTGTTAGCGTCCGTTGGCACCCAGAGCTCTGTTGGACTAACACTTCATATTTATATAAAAAACAGAAAACACTGCATTACTTGGAGAAAAGAAAGTGAGGAAGTTGAACTACCTGGTGAGTTCAGAAAATATGTCTATAACTTTATTCCAGCTATCGTTGTACTTTACTGTGAACAAGTTAGCGTAGCA